GACTGACTGACTGACTGACTGACTGACTGACTGACTGACTGACTGACTGACTGACTGACTGACTGACTGCAGCTGACTGACTGAGTGAATGAATGAATGAATGAATGAATGAATGAATCGCAATTTACGAATTTAGAAACCTTCTTCATAAAGGTTGATTGAACCTCCATAGTCTTTTGGAATTTAACTTCACGTTTAGCGACAACAATATCGATGAAATCGTAATTCTAATGTTGACCCAAATCATGAAAACGCTGTAACATATGAATTTTATCTATTTGTTTTGCTTGCAACAAGAGAAATCAGAACTTTTAGACAGAATGTTTTGAAAATTGCACAATTACTTCGTAAACAAGCATATGAGATATCGAGAACTGTGAGTGTAAGCTGACGGTTGGCGGTTCTTTACATTGTCGAGAGGGAACTTCATTTTTCATTTTAATTACTTTCCTGTTCGCACGATTCATGGAATTTTTCAATTGAGTATCGCCCAATTCAAAATAAATTTGTATGCTTTCTGTTTGTGCACAAAACAGATTTGGACAGTGGGGGCAGCGTTCACGGCCCGATGGATCAGAAACACTCCACCAGACTGGGCAATATCAGTCGCAGTGGACAACTGATCCCCGGATCAAAATACTATTTGGGTGATAGTTCTGCGCATCATCGATCGATGCGGCGTCAATCAGAGAGCGGTGCCTGGGATTTGAAGTCAGAAAGTAAGTCATGCTCGAGTTTGCTGATAGACTTTCGATCAAAAAATATGTCGGCGTGCGCGCATTTTTATCCTTCACGATGAGCTCGTCCTATTTTAAACCATGCTTTGGGGGAGCACGTGACAGATGAATATCAATATTACTTGCATGTTGTAAGTTATAAAAAAATCTGATGAAATTGATTTACCTTCACCATGTTATTACTTCACTGTGATCCATGGAAAAGCAATATTGAAGTTAGAAGTGAATTTTTGCGCCTCAGTAGACTATAAATGGGGAGCACGAAAACGAAATATCAACGACAGCAGTATCAATAGACTGTTTAGAATAAATCTGATCAGATATCATTTTGAGCGCGTGCGTGCAGAAGTGTGGTAAGAACGTAAACGCGCGGACAACGAATGGATCAGTGTGTGCTTCTTGCAACTGCCGGAATACGTCGATGCATGAGTGTTACTTCCACCAAGGCTCCAGTTAGTTCGGCTGTTCAAACACGAGTGAACGCCTTTCAATTTTTCCTTAAACCACATAATTTCAACACCTAAGCACTCACAAACTGCGGTGCAACATGCAACATATGATGCTCAAAAAACCTGTGACCACAGGTTAGAATAAACTTGTGCGATCTGAGGGTACGTTTAAAGTGGTTGAGGAGCAGACTTGAGGGAAAACAAAAGACCAGAAAATCCAGTAAGACAAAACGCATCACAGACCACAAAGGATATTCACGTTTAAATAATTACTGAAAGTATTTGCTATGTTGGGCTCTAGAAGAACCCAAGAAAAAGGATTGCGGTTTGACATGCCAAACATTACATCATCAATATCACCGCAATGAAAGAAACACATGAAAGATATAAGCAAAAAACAGAAAGGTAGGAAGGTAGCAGTGAGGATTATCTTTGACCTTGAGTACTGAAATTATGCAGCACGTATGAAGATCCGCGGGAACGCTCTCCCGCTATCAGACACGCTTGCAAAGGAAGAACACGACAATCGCGCACGAACGTATATTGTAGCACAAAAGTATGGCAAAAAGCAAGGCACGAGATGTATATGAGAATGAGGAACACAAGGCTCGTATGGATTATGGGTTCTCATGTGTCGCCTGACACACCCTTCTTTTTTGTTCGTTCTTAGTGCTCACCGTGTTTAACCATGGTGTGCCAGAAGGGGATAGGATAGGTAAGAACATTTACTAGTACTGTAGGTATCTCGTCATTGTTTGCATGTACACTGCTCGTCAATTAGCCAGATCAACAATGAGAATGAGAACGGTATTCAATACCTTCGCTCTATCAGTGCAGTTCAAGACATTTACGCTTTTCTTCTCATACACTTCCTGGGAATGCGGTCAGGGTCCGAGGAAAAAACCATGAGATGCATAAACCAGTGGAATATTTATGAACTATTGAGATTGTAAAAAGTTCAGTAGCCTAGGTGGAATTCGAACCCACACATGGACGAATTGGAAATGATCAGTGCAATCGGTATGGCCTCATAGCTCAGCTGTTAAGGGGTGCGCGGTACAAAAGCGTAGACAGCGTCCAGGCTTGGATTCGAACCCCATCGTGGCTAATGAACTTCTCTTAATTTCAACATAAGAATGGAATCTGCTAACCAACCGCTCAAATGAGTATAGTGCGTCAGAGCATCCCGACAATACACCTTCGGTGTGATGAGCATGGCCCCCGCTCAAACCCTACGATAGCAACAGAGGTGAACACCTTCATAGCTACATTTCAGGAAACACAAAGTAATTGGATGTTAGCATTCTGGCGAATGAATCTCCTACATGAGGTTTATAACTGCCAACAGTTGATTGGGACAAGAGATGTGTGAAGCGATGTGTTTGAAGCGATCAGTCGACCAAAAATATTCCTCTTGTCAGTTAAGATCCCAGTGATGCAAGACTGCTTTTAGTGTAGCAAAAACTAAAAGCTGGTTGACTAAACTATACAAAGTGCACTTTAGATCGTATACGAAATTGATCCACCGGTGCGAACTCGTCTGCAGTTCCGATACTCAGACTGATTAGCATGTATCACGATCGTTTGTCTGCGAAATGTGCCACGTGAGATGAAAGAAGACACGGAAACTTCATTCTTACCCATTTTCTTTTGATCTTGATGGTGAACAATGTAACGACCAGGATAACAAAAAGAATTTCTATGCAAACCCATCAGTCTCCAACTACAATTATCCTTGCTCGATCAAGTCACTTGTAAAGTAACTTGCCTCATTGAAAAATTGTTTCCAGATGACGACATCTGGATGCTGTTTATGAAATGCGGGAAAATCGAACCGATTTCATTAGCTCCCCTTTAGTCGCTCTTGCATTCGATTCCAGCGATACCCTGTTCGGCCCTCGTTGAACACAATCACCGATAACCAGCAGTGTGTTCCCGTTCATGTGTGCTTTGTTGTGAACAAGATAGGCTTAATTCCACAATGCCAAAACAGCTTGTTAAGAAACAAAAACAGATTATTCCGAATAAAAACGAAGGTGCTTTTATTGAGCATCCTCAAAACACACGATCAGCTAACTCAATTCCGGGCCAAATTGACATCAATGCCTTAAACTTACAGGCTGGAAATGAGATGTACCGGTGAAAAGGTCATCCGAATGACAACAATTTGATGAATGGATCAAAAGAACCGATCAACACAGTCTATTTGGCATACTCCTGGTTTTTTGTTGTTTTTTTGTTATCGTTGCTGCTGCTGTTGCGCTTGTTGTTGTTGTTGTTGTTGTTGCTGTTGTTGTTGTTGTTGTTGTTGTTGCTGTTGTTGTTGTTGTTG